GACACCTTCAGCAGAACCAGAACCGGGCTCGGTACGGCGGCCAAAGCCAGGCAGACCCGGAGAGAAGCAGACAGGAAGCTGAAGGCTCGGCGGGTCTGGTTGCCTTGCAGTGTCAGGTCACATTAGCCTCCGATGGAAAATCTGAATATTCCTGGAACAATTACTGAAAAACAGATCAACATGTAATATCAAATATTAAAAGGTCAAATCAAACCCTGCGACTTTCTGTAGCGTTTCAAAGTTCAGCCTGAACCTCTGAGATGAACTCTGCTTCAGTCTAAACGAACGTTCAGTCTGGAAACTGTCTGCATGATGTGCACAGAAGCCAGGTGAACGTCGCTGCCTCGCCGATGAGAGTCGGGGTCAGCGGGGGGTCAGAGGAAACAAACATCTACTGGTGTGATTAGAGGTCATCCATATCCCCACTGAGAACATAATCTATCTTCATTCATCCAGAGAGACACGCGTCCCTCCACCAGCTCCTCTATTTCTGCTGATTTACATTCGCAGTAGGAGACAAGTTACATTTCACAGCCAGTTAGGAGGCTGAGGCCTCAGAGCCGCTGCTCTCATTGTGTTTGACAGAAAGTCAGCAGCACCAACCTGCTGCCAGGTTTCTCTACGCTCAGAGTTTCATTTCTGAGCCATTAGGAACGCCATGCGTTCTGTCAGCCGTCCTGCCTCCTCTCCGTTTAACCAGTCATATCATTGCTTCATTTCATAATTACACTTCTTGCATAATTTGCTCTCCTCAGCCATTTCCTATGAAAGTACTCAGCCAGCATCAGAGCAGCTTCAAACAGGAAGCAGATTTATGCATCTGGACGTTTTGCTGATTTCAGGCGACTGTTAGCTGCTGCTGATCCTCGTCCGGCTGATTCTGGGTCTGCAGGGCGTGAGGCTGAGCTGCAGCGTTGAAAACAAAACTAAATGCATGAATATCAAACCAAACATTTTTATTACACCACAGTTTTAATCATTGTTGGATCTAGCTGCGGCGAAACGCAGTGATGATGGCTGAACTCTGACTGATGGAGATTCATCTTGTGGAAAAACTCCCATCAGCTTCTGCTTCAAAATATTTCAATAATAATATTCATATTCTCCTTCCTCCTGAACAAGAACTGGTTCCAGATTCAGTTCAGTCAGGATGGGGATGAACTGCTCATAGTTCACATCCTGGACATTTTCAGCAGCTCATGTTTAGTTTCACAAAGTTCTCCATGCAGACCCTGACTGGGACCGGTGGGGTCAGAGGTCAGGAGAGGAGCAGGAGTCATCATGCCCAACATGAATGAACACAACGATCCCAAAGAGATATTCAAACCAGATCAATTCTGATCAAAGTGAAGACGTAGCAGAGACTTATTGAAACGGCTGTTTCTGTGATTAAAGTCCGATTTGGTTCTGCGGTTCCAGAAGTTTTATCCGGCACCAGCGTTCTGGAGGTCAGCAGCCGAGGGGCCTGACGTGGAACAAATAAAACGATGATCATTCATCTTTGTAAAGCGGCTGGGCTACTGGGATCCTGGCTTAAATGCAGCTTTTGTGTTAATAAGGATTACAGAGCCGGTGCTGATTTTCATCCTGAACATAAAGCTGCTGCTCAGGAAGAATTGCTGCCCCAAGGCCAAGTTGCTTCAGCTGCCGCTCTGCATTCAAATCTCCTTTGTCTCCTCCAGAGCGCCGGCTGTCAGGGGATTTTTACCAAATCAAGTCTGGTTGTCTTCTCCACTTCTCTCCACACTGAAACCTTTTGTAATCGCTTCACACTGCTTCTGGATCAATTAAAAGCCATTTATGATCCAGGCATCACAAGCTTCAGATGTTCATTCAGTGCAGATGCTGCTGTTCACACCGTGCGAAGCTAAATATCGACTGAACCCTGAGCTCTGCATCAGGCCGGGTGTCTGTTTGCTTCCATGCAGCTTCTCTCAGGGTTTTCGTCCTTTTGGCGGGCGGGCGGGCGGGCATCGAAAGCAGATGATCAGATAAGCATTCACCGCACACGGTTCCTGAACGGCCTCGTCTGCCTTCGCTCTCAGCCTGACGCATGCAGAGCGCAGGAGGCCACGCAAGCAGGGAGCCGCTGAGAGACACGTTGATGCTGAAACTAACGCAGCACCATGTCGTCCAAACGCTTCACAGGCAGAGGAACAGAAATAATCCAGATTATTTATTCTGTCATCAGAGGGAAAAACTCCACATTATGTGCAGCTTTGATGAGAAACTAAATGATGAACTGCAGCTTGAGTTTCCGTTTCGCTCCACCTCTCACTGTCCAGATGGGTTTCCATTTCCACACACATTTCAACTGGGAATAAAAGTCAGGGATCTACTGTGATCCATAATGTCTGTGGTAATCTCCCTGGATCCCATTAAATCCACAGAACGTCTCCAGTGGGAGGAGGAACGGCTGCAGCAGCTCAGCCAATGGGTGCAAGGTTTTCACAGGAGGCTGTGTGTGTGTGTGTGTGTGTGTGTGAGCATGTGTGTGTGTGTGTGTGCGCATGTGTGCATGTGTGTGTGTGCTTCCTGTAACTGTTAGGGGGAACTGGAAGTGTCCAGGCCCAACAGAGCATTAATCCAGATGGTAATTTTATTACCGTCTTTGAAATCTGTTCAAACCCAAAGCAAATATACACAGAGATCAAAGGTCATTCTCAAACAGGATCTCCTGTACCAATCTCCTCCTTTAAACATTCCAGACCAGAATTTCTAACCTCCAGATAGACCTGGTGGTTTTCTGCCTCAATGATTCATCAAGAAACTGATTCCTGTTATAAACACACTGACACAGAAATCTGGTACCAGATGATAACTGTGAGTTTGGATCTAAAAACTGCAGGATTTTCTTCTTTTAGAAAAAATACCTGAAATATTTTACTTCTAAAACTTTAGTTTCCTAATCCTGTTCTATTTGAGTAATTTAGATGCATGCAGATTAGTATGGTGAGACACTAACTAGTTCAGAACATGCTGTTGATACTTAAAGGAAATATCTTAATACATCTGATTATACTTCTAGAAATTGTTTTCTAAAGGTTTTAGTGTTTTACCTAAATAAACACCAAAGAATTTTACTCATGTCTGCAGACCCCCCTCTGTCTGCCGACCCCCTCAATCTGCAGACCCCCCTCAGTCTGCAGACCCCCTCAGTCTGCAGACCCCCTCAGTCTGCAGACCAACCTCTGCCTGCAGACCCCCCTCTGTCTGCAGACCCCCCTCAGTCTGCAGACCCCCTCAGTCTGCAGACCCCCTCTGTCTGTAGACCCCCTCAGTCTGCAGACCCCCTCTGTCTGCAGACCAACCTCTGCCTGCAGACCCCCTCTGTCTGCAGACCCCCTTAGTCTGCAGACCCCCTCTGTCTGCAGACCCTCCTTAATGATTTATGTAAGTTCAGAGAGTCAGCAGTTGTTTTAGTTTGGATCTTTATCTAAGTCTACCTAATGTAGAATCTACTCAGAATATTCATGCTACATCTAATATTTCATATACACAAAGGTTAACTGTTAAGAAAGCTATGCTAACCAAACTTACACTCCCAACATAATTTACCAACAGAACTGTGACTTTTTTAAAATCAATGCTCACCTCCATCCCATTTCCTCCAGTTTCTATTCCAGCGGTTCTTCGTCCTCCAGTCCCTCTCGAAGCCTCTCCTCTTCCTCTCTTCTCTTTGTCCTTGGTTCGTCCTCTTCGCTCATTCTCCACCTTGTCTCACTTTTTGCAGAGCTTCCTCCTTCCTGCTGTTCTCAACATTGAAAATGACTTTCTAGATGAATTCCAGGAACCTCGATGCAGAGATGATGCTAATGACAGGCAATTACTGAGAGGCAGAACTCACTAATGGACTTTTACCCTCATTTATCTCCAGCAGATCTCATTGCGCTCCTCTCATGACAAGGGGAGTGAGAACGGACTGCAGTGAAGCCGAGCTGCAGGAAAACTTTTCTAAAGTGTCTGAAACAAAGATGTCAAGTGATTGAGAGCAGGAAAAACTGAAACCAGTGAGTGGAGCCAGGAACAGCTGCACATCCTGCAGCCTTTAGCTCTTCTGCTCCCGAACCGCGCAGCACCGGGCCAGGCGGGCCTTTGACTCTTCAACTGATACATACAATAATCGACCTGTCCTCCTGGTGCGGCCTTCCTGCAGTCGGACCGAGTCAGACTGGATCTTTCCTTCCTGACTCATCCTGTTTGTTCTGCTCCACCTTTTCAAACCACTTGACCTTTAGCTTCATCTTATTTTATGATGAGAAAAACAAGCAGGAAGGGAAAGGCAGGACTCAGAGACAAACAGAAACTAGATGGAGGATCCAGCAGAAAGAAAGAGGAATTAAATACTGAGGCAGAGGAACAAGAAAACCCCAGGAGCTAATCAGAGGGGAGTGGAGGCAGCTGGATGGGAAGCACAGAGAAACAAACAGAGCCGAGCCAGTACCCCAGAACTGGGAGAGTTTTCCCTCTGATCCGGGTCCGGTCGACCCGGTTCTACTGGAACCAGAACTTCTGCTCCACCTCCAGCTGCTGTGGTTCTGACCCAAACCAGCCTGTTCCCCTCCTGGCCTGTGGGGGCGCTGCACCAACAACCGCTGCAGGAAACGACACTAAAACCTCTGAAGACACTGAGAGCAACTTCCTGTTTCACCAGATGAAACAAGATGGAGGCGTCAGAGTTTAGTGATTTCTCTTTAGTCTTTGGCTGAAGACCAGGAGCCATTTCTGCTGCTAGCGCTAGGCTAGCATGATAGCTTTGGTTACCCAGAATGCCCTGCTGTAGTCCATTTCCTGCTTTTGGAGCGCTCTCCGGTCTGTCTCATTGTAACGAGGTGCTGGTCCTGGTTTCGTTTCCGAGCTGTTGCAGCTAAACGCTTCCTTGAACCTGCACAGGACCGGACCAAGCCTGCTGCGGCTCGTCCTGCTGCGGCTCGTCCTGCTGCGGCCCGTCCTGCTGCGGCCCGTCCTGCTGCGGCCCGCCCTGCTGCGGCTCGTCCTGCTGCGGCTCGTCCTGCTGCGGCCCGCCCTGCTGCGGCCCGTCCTGCTGCGGCTCGTCCTGCTGCGGCCCGTCCTGCTGCGGCTCGTCCTACTGCGGCCCGCCCTGCTGCGGCTCGCCCTGCTGCGGCTCGTCCTGCTGCGGCCCGTCCTGCTGCGGCTCGTCCTACTGCGGCCCGCCCTGCTGCGGCTCGTCCTGCTGCGGCCCGTCCTGCTGCGGCTTGTCCTACTGCGGCCCGCCCGTCCTGCTGCGGCTCGTCCTGCTGCGGCCCGTCCTGCTGCGGCTCGTCCTGCTGCGGCCCGTCCTACTGCGGCTCGTCCTGCTGCGGCTCGTCCTGCTGCGTTCCCGCCCTGCTGCGGCTCGTCCTGCTGCGGCCCGTCCTACTGCGGCTCGTCCTGCTGCGGCTCGTCCTGCTGCGTTCCCGCCCTGCTGCGGCTCGCCCTGCTGCGGCTCGTCCTGCTGCGGCCCGCCCGTCCTGCTGCGGCTCGTCCTACTGCGGCTCGTCCTGCTGCGGCTCGTCCTACTGCGGCTCGTCCTGCTGTGGCCCGCCCGTCCTGCTGCGGCTCGTCCTGCTGCGGCCCGTCCTGCTGCGGCTCGTCCTGCTGCGGCTCGTCCTGCTGCGTTCCCGCCCTGCTGCGTTCCCGCCCTGCTGCGGCTCGCCCTGCTGCGGCTCGTCCTGCTGCGGCCCGTCCTGCTGCGGCTCGCCCTGCTGCGGCTCGTCCTGCTGCGTTCCCGCCCTGCTGCGGCTCGCCCTGCTGCGGCTCGTCCTGCTGCGGCCCGCCCGTCCTGCTGCGGCTCGTCCTACTGCGGCTCGTCCTACTGCGGCTCGTCCTGCTGCGGCCCGCCTGTCCTGCTGCGGCTCGTCCTGCTGCGGCCCGTCCTGCTGCGGCTCGTCCTGCTGCGGCTCGTCCTGCTGCGGCCCGCCCGTCCTGCTGCGGCTCGTCCTGCTGCGGCCCGTCCTGCTGCGGCTCGTCCTGCTGCGGCCCGTCCTGCTGCGGCCCGTCCTACTGCGGCTCGTCCTGCTGCGGCTCGTCCTGCTGCGGCCCGCCTGTCCTGCTGCGGCTCGTCCTGCTGCGGCACGCCCTGCTGCGGCCCGCCCGTCCTGCTGCGGCTCGTCCTGCTGCGGCCCGTCCTGCTGCGGCTCGTCCTGCTGCGTTCCCGCCCTGCTGCGGCTCGCCCTGCTGCGGCTCGTCCTGCTGCGGCTCGTCCGGCTGCGGCCCGCCTGTCCTGCTGTGGCTCGTCCTACTGCGGCCCGTCGTGCTGCGGCCCGTCCTACTGCGGCTCGTCCTGCTGCGGCCCGTCCTGCTGCGGCTCGTCCTGCTGCGTTCCCGCCCTGCTGCGGCTCGCCCTGCTGCGGCTCGTCCTGCTGAGGCTCGTCCTACTGCGGCCCGTCGTGCTGCGGCCCGCCCTGCTGCGGCTCGCCCTGCTGCGGCTCGTCCTGCTGCGGCTCGTCCGGCTGCGGCTCGTCCGGCTGCGGCCCGCCTGTCCTGCTGCGGCTCGTCCTGCTGTGGCCCGTCCTACTGCGGCTCGTCCTGCTGCGTTCCCGCCCGTCCTGCTGCGGCCCGTCCTGCTGCGGCTCGTCCTGCTGCGGCTCGTCCTGCTGCGTCTCGTCCTGCTGCGGCCTGACCTCTCCACATTTAGTTGGACAATATCAGAATCTGATCAGTTTTAATTGTTCATATCAAACCTGATCAAACAGTTTGAGCCAAAATACCTCAGAAATATCCACCAGGAGAATCAACTCATTAACATTTAAACTCAGTTTAACACAAAGACGCAGCTTCAATGTTGTAGAACTGGACCGGTCCGGGTCATCAAGGTCATTTCTGTTAGCAGCTTTATCTTTACATGATATTATAAAGACTCATTCAAACAAACTTTATCTTGGCTCTTTCTGTTCCTCTTCTTTTCTGCCCCCTGAAGGATCAGTCCTCTAAAGAGACATTGTCTTCTTTCCCTTCGGACCGGAGTGTCGGCCCTTTGGCCCTTTAGTCCTTTGGCCCTTTAGTCCTTTGGCCCTTTAGTCCTTTGGCCCTTTGGCCCTTTAGTCCTTTGGCCCTTTAGTCCTTTGGCCCTTTAGTCCTTTGGCCCTTTGGCCCTTTAGTCCTTTGGCCCTTTGGCCCTTTAGTCCTTTGGCCCTTTAGTCCTTTGGCCCTTTGGCCCTTTAGTCCTTTAGTCCTTTGGCCCTTTGGCCCTTTAGTCCTTTGGCCCTTTAGTCCTTTGGCCCTTTAGTCCTTTAGTCCTTTGGCCCTTTAGTCCTTTGGCCCTTTAGTCCTTTGGCCCTTTGGCCCTTTAGTCCTTTGGCCCTTTAGTCCTTTAGTCCTTTGGCCCTTTAGTCCTTTGGCCCTTTAGTCCTTTGGCCCTTTAGTCCTTTGGCCCTTTAGTCCTTTGGCCCTTTGGCCCTTTAGTCCTTTGGCCCTTTAGTCCTTTGGCCCTTTAGTCCTTTGGCCCTTTGGCCCTTTAGTCCTTTGGCCCTTTAGTCCTTTGGCCCTTTAGTCCTTTGGCCCTTTAGTCCTTTAGTCCTTTGGCCCTTTAGTCCTTTGGCCCTTTAGTCCTTTGGCCCTTTGGCCCTTTAGTCCTTTGGCCCTTTAGTCCTTTGGCCCTTTAGTCCTTTGGCCCTTTGGCCCTTTAGTCCTTTGGCCCTTTAGTCCTTTGGCCCTTTAGTCCTTTGGCCCTTTAGTCCTTTGGCCCTTTAGCCCTTTGGCCCTTTAGCCCTTTGGACGTGGTTAAAGTCCCCCGCCACAATCATGGCAGCCTCCGGGTTGGAGTTCATCTGCCCGCTGATCAGGCAGTATAGCTCCTCTAGTGCTAACTTAGCATTAGCCCGCGGTGGTATGTAGACGGCCACGATCACAATGGACGAGAGTTCTCTCACCAACTTGAAGGGTCTGCATTTCACCGCCAGATATTCCAAGTCAGGAGAGCAGAATGTGCCGACAGAGTGTGTGGCTGTACACCAGGCATTGTGTACATACAGTGCCAAACCTCCGCCTCTGCTCTTACCCGAAGCTGCCGTCCGATCCGCCCGGAACAGAGCGCGCCCCGTTATCTCACCGCTGAGTCTGGGATGTTTTCATCCAGCCAGGTCTCTGTGACAACAGTCACACAGCTGTCCATCCGGCGAGAGATAATTCGGAGTCGCACCTCGTCGATTTTGTTGACGAGGGACCTGGCGTTGGCGAGGAAGAGGCTGGGGAGGGCCAGTCTGTGAGGGCCGGTCTGTGAGGGTTAGCTTGTAGCCTTGTCCTGCTGCGGCTCGTCCTGCTGCGGCCCGTCCTGCTGCGGCCCGTCCTACTGCGGCTCGTCCTGCTGCGGCTCGTCCTGCTGCGGCCCGCCTGTCCTGCTGCGGCTCGTCCTGCTGCGGCACGCCCTGCTGCGGCCCCCCGTCCTGCTGCGGCTCGTCCTGCTGCGGCCCGTCCTGCTGCGGCTCGTCCTGCTGCGTTCCCGCCCTGCTGCGGCTCGCCCTGCTGCGGCTCGTCCTGCTGCGGCTCGTCCGGCTGCTTGTAGCCTTGCACGCACGCCGGCTCTCTTGCCCCTCTTTTGTTTGCGCTGCCTCCTCCGTCGCCTTCGCAGCAGGGGGGGAATGATCATAGTCCCAGGTGTTCGAAGCAGCTCTGGAGGAATAAAGTCCAGCTTGGTGGGTGTGTGAAGTCCAAACTGTGCCCCTATGTTCCACAGTTCTGATCTGCTAGAAGTTATCAAGGCTTCCAGTGGTGTGTTGAGCGAAGACATCAATAAAAAAAGGCTAACAAAAACAAAAACACGGGAGCTCCGAGCTGCTGCGTCTACACGCGCCGCCATCTTTATCAAGTGGCCGACCTGGGGCCCATAGTGGCCCTGGGGCCCTTAGTGGCTGACCTGGGGCCCTTAGTGGCCCTGGGCCTTAGTGGCTGACCTGGGGCCCTTAGTGGCCCTGGGTCCTTAGTGGCTGACCTGGGGCCCTTAGTGGCCCTGGGGCCCTTAGTGGCTGACCTGGGTCCTTAGTGGCTGACCTGGGGCCCATAGTGGCCCTGGGGCCCTTAGTGGCTGACCTGGGGCCCTTAGTGGCCCTGGGGCCTTAGTGGCTGACCTGGGGCCCTTAGTGGCCCTGGGTCCTTAGTGGCTGACCTGGGGCCCTTAGTGGCCCTGGGGCCCTTAGTGGCTGACCTGGGGCCCTTAGTGGCCCTGGGTCCTTAGTGGCTGACCTGGGGTCCTTAGTGGCTGACCTGGGGCCCTTAGTGGCCCTGGGGCCCTTAGTGGCTGACCTGGGGCCCTTAGTGGCCCTGGGTCCTTAGTGGCTGACCTGGGGCCCAGTGGCCCTGGGGCCCTTAGTGGCTGACCTGGGCCCTTAGTGGCCCTGGGCCTTAGTGGCTGACCTGGGGCCCTTAGTGGCCCTGGGTCCTTAGTGGCTGACCTGGGGCCCTTAGTGGCCCTGGGGCCCTTAGTGGCTGACCTGGGGCCTTAGTGGCTGACCTGGGGCCCTTAGTGGCCCTGGGGCCCTTAGTGGCTGACCTGGGGCCTTAGTGGCTGACCTGGGGCCCTTAGTGGCCCTGGGGCCTTAGCGGCCGACCTGGGGCCCTTAGTGGCCGACCTGGGGCCCTTAGTGGCCCTGGGGCCCTTAGTGGCCTCCCTGGGGCCCTTAGTGGCCGACCTGGGGCCCTTAGTGGCCCTGGGGCCTTAGTGGCTGACCTGGGGCCTTAGTGGCTGACCTGGGGCCTTAGCGGCCGACCTGGGGCCCTTAGTGGCCGACCTGGGGCCCTTAGTGGCCTCCCTGGGGCCCTTAGCGGCCGACCTGGGGCCCTTAGTGGCCCTGGGGCCCTTAGTGGCCGACCTGGGGCCCTTAGTGGCCAACCTGGGGCCCTTAGTGGCCCTGGGGCCCTTAGTGGCCGACCTGGGGCCCTTAGTGGCCCTGGGGCCTTAGTGGCCGACCTGGGGCCCTTAGTGGCCCTGGGGCCTTAGTGGCCGACCTGGGGCCCTTAGTGGCCCTGGGGCCCTTAGTGGCCGACCTGGGGCCCTTAGTGGCCGACCTGGGGCCCTTAGTGGCCCTGGGCCCTTAGTGGCCGACCTGGGGCCCTTAGTGGCCCTGGGGCCCTTAGTGGCCGACCTGGGGCCCTTAGTGGCCGACCTGGGGCCCTTAGTGGCCCTGGGGCCCTTAGTGGCCGACCTGGGGCCCTTAGTGGCCCTGGGGCCCTTAGTGGCCGACCTGGGGCCCTTAGTGGCCGACCTGGGGCCCTTAGTGGCCCTGGGGCCCTTAGTGGCCCTGGGGCCTTAGTGGCCGACCTGGGGCCCTTAGTGGCCCTGGGGCCCTTAGTGGCCGACCTGGGGCCCTTAGTGGCCGACCTGGGGCCCTTAGTGGCCGACCTGGGGCCCTTAGTGGCCCTGGGGCCCTTAGTGGCCGACCTGGGGCCCTTAGTGGCCCTGGGGCCTTAGCGGCCGACCTGGGGCCCTTAGTGGCCCCGTGGCCCTTAGTGGCCGACCTGGGGCCTTAGTGGCCCCGTGGCCCTTAGTGGCCGACCTGGGGCCTTAGTGGCCCTGGGGCCCTTAGTGGCCTACCTGGGGCCCTTAGGGCCGACCTGGGGCCCTTAGTGGCCCTGGGGCCTTAGCGGCCGACCTGGGGCCCTTAGTGGCCCTGGGCCCTTAGTGGCCGACCTGGGGCCCTTAGTGGCCCTGGGGCCTTAGTGGCCGACCTGGGGCCCTTAGTGGCCCTGGGGCCCTTAGTGGCCGACCTGGGGCCCTTAGTGGCCCTGGGGCCTTAGTGGCCGACCTGGGGCCCTTAGTGGCCGACCTGGGGCCCTTAGTGGCCCTGGGGCCCTTAGTGGCCGACCTGGGGCCCTTAGTGGCCCTGGGGCCTTAGCGGCTGACCTGGGGCCTTAGTGGCCCCGTGGCCCTTAGTGGCCGACCTGGGGCCCTTAGTGGCCCTGGGGCCTTACTGGCTGACCTGGGGCCTTAGTGGCTGACCTGGGGCCCTTAGTGGCCGACCTGGGGCCCTTAGTGGCCCTGGGGCCTTAGTGGCCGACCTGGGACCCTTAGTGGCCGACCTGGGGCCCTTAGTGGCCCTGGGGCCCTTAGTGGCCGACCTGGGGTTCTTAGTGGCCCTGGGGCTTTAGTGGCCGACCTGGGGCCCTTAGTGGCCGACCTGGGGCCCTTAGTGGCCCTGGGGCCTTAGTGGCCGACCAGTGGCCCTGGGGCCCTTAGTGGCCGACCTGGGGCCCTTAGTGGCCCTGGGCCTTAGTGGCCGACCTGGGGCCCTTAGTGGCCGACCAGTGGCCCTGGGGCCCTTAGTGGCCGACCTGGGGCCCTTAGTGGCCCTGGGGCCTTAGTGGCCGACCTGGGGCCCTTAGTGGCCGACCTGGGGCCCTTAGTGGCCCTGGGCCCTTAGTGGCCGACCTGGGGCCCTTAGTGGCCCTGGGGCCTTAGTGGCCGACCTGGGGCCCTTAGTGGCCGACCTGGGGCCCTTAGTGGCCCTGGGGCCCTTAGTGGCCGACCTGGGGCCCTTAGTGGCCCTGGGGCCTTAGCGGCTGACCTGGGGCCCTTAGTGGCCCCGTGGCCCTTAGTGGCCGACCTGGGGCCTTAGTGGCCCTGGGGCCTTACTGGCTGACCTGGGGCCTTAGTGGCTGACCTGGGGCCCTTAGTGGCCGACCTGGGGCCCTTAGTGGCCGACCTGGGGCCTTTAGCAGCTGCTTAGTTTGCTCATGCCTGGGGCCGGCTCTGAACCTGCAGCAGCTCTTTGCTGACTCTGGTTTGCAGTTCAAGCTGCTGGTATCTTTGAAACATGGATCAGTTTCAAAGATAAAATCATGATACTTCTGCCTCAAACACAGACTATGTTCCACAGTCTTAGTTCTTACAGTTTCATTCATTTCCATCCTTTTTCATCTGGAGCAGAAAGCTGCAGGTGGCGCTCTACTCATCTCCAGCGGTCAGCAGACAAACTGGGCAGCCACCAGTCAGTCTCAGGGGAAACTGGGAACTTTCCTCTGTGGGTTTGGGAGTCTCCTTCAGCTCCGTCACCCTGGAAGTTTCCTGCCATGATTGATCACTAAGCGAGGCAGATCTGCAGAGAACCGCAGGTTACGATGTGAAAAGTCTCTTTCCGTTTGTGAATGAGTTTCAAATCCTGGTGGAGCAGAGGACGGGTCAGAACCAGCAGGACGGGTCAGAACCAGCAGGACGGGTCAGAACCAGCAGGACGGGTCAGAACCAGCAGGACGGGTCAGAACCAGCAGGTCAAACGAAGCAGCGATCTGCTCCCCCTTCTTTAGTTAGAGACGCCATTCTGGTCGTCTGGCAAAGCATGGAGGCTAAAACGGGATTATGGCCAACAGCTAATGAGCAGTTTAGTGCTGGAAGTGCTGCCAGGGACGAGCGTCCTGCTGGTTCTTCAATTTGCATGTTCAGCTTCACAGATAAAGGGACGTTTATGAGACAAAGATCATTCCAGCGAAACTCTGAAGATGACTTTTGCACTTTGTGTTTTACAGTGCTGCCATGTCAGTGACTGGCTGGTTACTAATGCTAACTATCACGTTTGACCTTTGGCCTTCAGTAGTGCTCAGGTTTAAATGTCAGTGATTAGCAATGCTAATTACACAGCTGTTGACCATAAACCACCAAACATCAACATTAGTTCTGCTAATGCTAAAGCGCTATGCTAAAATGATCATTAGCTAAAGCGCTACCTTTAGCCATGTTCATATCCGCCATGTGTCGATGAGACAAATCAAACAGCAGCATCCTGATTGGATCGTTCTTGAAACAAAGTCAGGAGAACGAGGAAAGGAACCGTTTGGTTCTGCAAAGTGTTTGTTGTATTTTAATTCATATTTACTGTCTGAATGATTATTTTGCAAACTGACGAAAGAAGAACTAGAATCTGAGTAACTGATAGATTTGAATGGTTTTGCCTCCATTGAGCTGCTAAAAGCAAAGCAAGTATTTCTCCATCACTGATCCGTTTCTCTGCCTTCATTTGAAACTAGCACAATAAATGCTGTTCCAGTCTCTGGGCAACTTTCCTGCTCCTGTAATTACTGTCCTGCAGCAGACCTGGAGCGGCCGGCCTCAGCGCTCCAGTAAGTGAAACGTCTGCATGATGGCGGAGCCGGCGCTGACCACACAGCCGGCCGGCCGGCCTCTCTCTGCAGGCCATTCAGCTTCATTACCCAGCAGCAGGGAAGACACACACTGAGACCGTAGGAGGAACAAAAGCCAGGAAATCACCTGCATTTCAGCGTCTGATGGTCAGCCTCCGCCTTCGCTCTGTTCAGTGGCGGCGCTAGACTTTTTTCCAAGGGGGGCCAAAGGGTGAGCAAGGCTTTATCAGAGGGTCCATATACAAATGGACCGTTCCATGGAACGAAAGGAAAAAATATTTCCTTTTGTTCAATTAATTATAACTAGTGAGGTTATAATTCAAAGCTTTCATATGACATAGCCTACTTACATTTCAGTCATTATAAACTTAATGGTTTTTCTCATATTCTTACCACACTTTCAAGCAAGAGCTGGGAGATATGAAACATTAGAGGGCAGCATGTCACTAAAACATATGTTAAAAGAATCTGTCTAAAACACGATCTATTAGCACTAGCATGGCTAATATAATAAA